AAGTACATGGACATCGAATTTGATTTCAAGGGTGATCCGCTTGGAGGAGTTATAAGCAATTGTAAGTACTGGCATAGATTTCTGTGAGTATTTTCATTATGCCACATGAAAGGAAGTGCAATTTAGATTGAGCATTTGACGGACATAATTCCTCAAATCTGTAGTTTGCAAAAAAAATATATATGGAGAACTGGCCTGTCTTATTTAAACATTCAGATCCTTTTGCCAAACTACATGTTACATGTGTTCCCATAAAGCCCCACCCTCCACACCACCAGTGTAAGCAGATGGCTTGGGCAGGTGCATCTAAGTGACCCTGACTCCTTACCCTGCCTATCATTTCTTCAAAAAGATCCTTTCCCAGATCCTTTCAGGGGAAACGTATGGAGACCTGAGGTTATGCAGCTGCCGCGCATAAAGGGTGTGTGCTTGTGAAAGATCTCTCTGTATCACAGAATGAATTGTATGTAGCACTGAGTGCAACCTATCAGATTCACATTGTCCCCAACTAAGCAAAAGCGCTGGAGAACACAACTGCTCTTTGATGCATTGTTACCCGGCTCTCTCATTAAGCTGAGCTTCCCTTTGTGGAATTTTCTTTCGACTCGACATTATGACATGGTAATTCACCCAGCCAGATACGTTATATGCATGCTTTTTTATTTTTGCTTTAGCCAGCCTTACTTGAAGAACAATAGCCTAAGCCTCCAAATGCTGCTATTTGTTTGTTCATCAAATTACAGTCCTCCTTAACCTATTGCACGCCTGCTCTTCAAAAGCCAGTCACATAGCTTCCATTCTGTGGAACCGAGAAGGAGCCAGCTTTTAATCAAACTCTTATTGTTCCTGAGTTGTTTCAGTAAAGCATGAAGCCACCAGTAAAAGTTGGACTTCACCAGCGTTCACTCAGTAGCAAATCTTCCTCTCCCTATACATTTATCGCTGGTAAAAGCTCTTGCTTAAAGAAAGTGCTGTCATCCCGTCTCCCGTCACACTAGCCTCCAGGCAAATAGTTAAAACTGTACCCTTTGATCTAAAAATGTCAGTCTCGTTGGAGGTTCCTTTTCAGTGCATGAAACTTGAAATCAAAGGACTGCAATTCCCTTGTTAATCTACTCCAGTCTAAAATAGCATCTTTGAGCGGGTGAATGGGGGTGGGGTGGTTTGCAACATTTAGTCAACTAATCATTTAGATGAATTGATTTAAAAGTTGCTCCCAGCCGAGGCAGCAGATTTTAATTTTTAATTTTGTTTTTATTTTAGAATTAACTGTTTTGGGATATCTGGCTGAGGATTAGTGTTGTATCCATGCCTGCTTTTCTTCCTTCCCCTTCTCTCTTTAGTGTAATACTTCTGGGGTATATTAAGCCACAATTTTCCTTTGAATCTGTACCATTCGTTAAGCTCTGTGGTTTGTAACTTCAAACCAGGTTTGTGAACCAAGGCTTGACATTGGTTTGCAATCCAGGAGTCGAAAACAACATCCTTGTCCAGACGAAATGCAAAAACGTGGTTTAACAAACTGAACAAGTCTTGCATTTAGTAATTTCCAGCCCATTGAAACCATGGCTTATTGTTGGGATGAGATTGCAAGGATTTAGGGCGCTTGCAGAATGAGCAATTTTCACATCTTGCACCAGGGGATGGCGTTGTGCTAATGGGTTTCAACTGCTGTAGTGAATGCTGACAATTAACAAATCTGACAATTGCACAACCCTATATTTATATACGCATCTTAAAAAGTAGAGACATCACCTTGCCAAAAAAGGTCCGTATAGTAAAAGCTATGGTTTTGCCAGTAGTGATGTATGGAAGTGAAAGCTGGACCATAAAGAAGGCTGATCACCGAAGAATTGATGCTTTTGAATTCTGGTGCTGGAGGAGACTCTTGAGAGTCCCATGGACTGCAAGAAGATCAATGCTCTCCATTCTTAAGGAAATCAGCCCTGAGTGCTCACTGGAAGGACAGATCATGAAGCTGAGACTCCAATACTTTGGCCACCTCATGAGAAGAGAAGACTCCCTGGAAAAGACCCTGATGTTGGGAAAGATGGAGGGCACAAGGAGAAGGGGACGACAGAGGACGAGATGGTTGGATAGTGTTATCGAAGCTACCAGCATGAGTTTGACCAAACTGCGGGAGGCAGTGGAGGACAGTAGTGCCTGGTGTGCTCTGGTCCATGGGGTCACGAAGAGTCGGACACGACTAAACGACTAAACAACAACAACAACAACATTTATATATAGAGAGAGAAAGAGTGCTTTGAAATATTTTAAATCCTTGAAGGCACAATCAAAGAGCAATTCAGCAAACATGCTGTGGTTTATCAGGTCTGGGTCTTTCAGGGCTTGGAGACGACATGGGAACGCCCATCTATACCACTTTGAGTTCATGATGGAAGAACCATGATAAAAAAATGTAATACACACAGTTAATGTTTTCGAATTACAATTTGTTTAGTGCAGGCATAGGCAAACTTGGCCCTCCAGATGTTTTGGGACTACAATTCCCTTCATCCCTGACCACTGGTCCTGTTAGCTAAGGATCATGGGAGTTGTAGTCCCAAAACATCTGGAGGGCTGAATTTGCCTATGCCTGGTTTAGTGCAATGAGAAGCCTTGGGGCAGCCTCAGAAAAGTTATCCTGGAGTCCCACCCACCTCAGATAAGTGAGTCATTGTGGCACTGCAAAGTTATGCTTTGTCCTTTTCAGATTCTTTTCAGAAGAGGGCTAAGGGAGGTACAGAACTCTGCCACTGACCATCTGAGCAGGATCCCTGAGTTTGTGCCGTACCTTTCAGCACCATAATGATAGACTAGGAAATAACTATGGAACGACGTACAGTAATGGCTATTTGGAAAGCTTTTCATCAATATGGGTATATTTGCAACTCAAATGGCAGGGCAAGGCTATAATTAAGTACCAAATCTGTTCCTCCTCCAGAAACACGATAATACAAACAAGGACTGTTGGTTTTTATTTGGCTAGAAAAGAAACTCCCCCACCCTCGCTTCTTTTATAATGGAGAAAATGTGTCAAGTAACTGAAATCTCCGTTTTTATCCACCAGGTCCCTTGATGCTGGCCTTTTAATTATGTGAATATGCGAGATACAAAAGCAGTACACTTGGAAATGTTTCATATTGTTTTGTGAAGGAATTCTGCTTTTTAATGGTTTTAATGGTTTTTTAATGGTGTGTATCTGAAGAAGTGTGCATGCACACAAAAGTTCATACCAATAACAAACTTAGTTGGTCTCTAAGGTGCTACTGGAAGGAATTTTTTTATTTTGTTTTCATGGTTAGATATTATGGTATTAATTTTTGGCTCCTATTTTGTTGTTGGATTACCATACTTCCCCTAGTCACTTTTTGAAAATGCAGCCCTCTTGTTTTAAGTTGTTAGCACATCGTATATGAGTTTCCGATGCAGTTTTCTGGGCCTGTGAAGCATGACTGTGTCCCCTTACTTCTGCTCTGCTTTTTTGCTGAAGGCTTCAAATCATTTCTGTTAAGTTGTGGGTGAACATATCAGACGACACAGTGATTCTTCAAACACCTCTTGTTTATTCACAGGCCAGAACAGAACTGAACTGAAGGGTTCAGCCAGCCTGCTTATATACAGCTCCACTAGAACGCAACAGTAACCATTTTCTGTAACTAGCCAATCACTGAACGTCACTTTCAATCCCTTATTTGCATATGTGGACCTGAGTGAAAACTATCTACAGTATCCCCCTGCTGGCCCAGGGTGAGAACTTCAGTACATAACAATTTCCTATCCTTTGGCTGTTCCAAAAGGAATAGATGGTGGAAGCACTCTTAACCCACTAAGCGACCTGCGTTGTGTCAGGAGCTGACAGGAGCCTGAGGAGAAGGAGGATTTGCAGGCAGAAGAGGGGGAAAGAGAGGAGAAAGATCCCAGGGAAAGGGCCAGTGATTTGTGGGGTTCTGTGCCACCCATGAGGCTGGCAGAGGCAGAAGGAGGGTGACGAAAGCAGGAGATAGATCAGCAAGAGCGAAAGGAGCTGACGTTTAGAGCTGCAAGTTCAAGAGGCAGAAACAGAGGAGCGTTTAAAGGAGGGACAGGGTGCCAGTGAAAATACTTAGCTAGTTAATAAGGAAATGTGTTGTCTATCACTTGAACATTAGGAGTTGATCATACAATATAGTCCAACCCCCTGCAATGCATGTTTTTAGGGGACAGGAGGCGGACAGATGTGGAGGATTCCCTGGTCCTGAATGGGGTAACTGTGCCCCTGAAGGACCAGGTGTGCAGCCTGGGAGTCATTTTGGACTCACAGCTATCCATGGAGGCACAGGTCAAATCTGTGTCCAGGGCAGCTGTTTACCAGCTCCACCTGGTACCTGCCTGTGGACTGCCTCGCCAGAGTGGTGCATGCTCTGGTTATCTCCTGCTTGGACTACTGCAATGCGCTCTACGTGGGGCTACCTTTGAAGGTGACCCGGAAACTACAACTAATCCAGAATGCGGCAGCTAGACTGGTGACTGGGAGCGGCCAGAGAGACCATATATCACCAGTCTTGAAAGACCTACATTGGCTCCCAGTACGTTTCTGAGCACAATTCAAAGTGTTGGTGCTGACCTTTAAAGCCCTAAACGGCTTTGGTCCAGTATATCTGAAGGAGCGTCTCCACCCCCATTGTTCTACCCAGACACTGAGGTCCAGCACCAAGGGCCTTCTGGCGGTTCCCTCACTGCGAGAAGCCAAGTTACAGGGAACCAGGCAGAGGGCCTTCTTGGTAGTGGCGCCCTCCCTGTGGAACGCCCTCCCACCAGATGTCAAAGAGAACAACAACTACCAGACTTTTAGAAGACATCTGAAGGCAGCCCTGTTTAGGAAAGCTTTTAATGTTTGATGTATTATAGTATTTTAATATTTTTTTGGAAGCCGCCCAGAGTGGCTGGGGAAGCCCAGCCAGATGGGCGGGGTATAAATAATGAATTATTATTATTATTATTATTATTATTATTATGAATCTTTTGCCTGGCGTGGGACTCGAACCCACAACCCTGAGATTAAGAGACTCATGCTCCCCCGACTGAGCCTATCCAGTGAAACTTCAATGTAACTGAGTGTTTCACTGTTAAATTGCTATCACATCCATCTGCTTGTCCTTGCTGGCCCAGGGTGCATCTTGAGAAATATCCCAAACTGAACTTTTTAAAGGAAATGAATTATGATGCCATTCCTCATGGGTGCTGCACAGTTTTGCTGCTTTTTACCTCTCGGCCACCTTGCCTGCATGGCATCTGGGTTGTAGGCAGGCCGTTGCTTAATGCAGGATGTGCTCCTCAGTGAAATAAGCGGGATAATTTTGTTGGCATTCCGGACCAGGTGCCCCCCAGATGTTCTTTTTTCGGCTTGCTATTCTGGGATGGGAGAAGTCTGTCTCAGGCTTAACTTCTTCTTGCCTGCTAGAACAGTCCAAATAATATTTGTCCAAGAATAAAAGACTTGTGAAGAGGTTTTCAAACCTTTTTCTGTAGTGCCTTAACTCTGTGTGTGTGTGTGTGTGTGTGTGTGTGTGTGTGTTTCTCTGGTGCATACACAAAATGCTCTCTGCACCATGCTTTTAGATTCCAACCTTCATGTAGTTGCTTGTTCTTTTTGTTAACCTGTCTTCCAACCCAGCCTGGATAGCTCGGTTGGTTAGAGTGTGGTGCTGATAATACCAAGGTTGTAAGTTCAATCCCCATATGGGACAGGTGTATATTCCTGCATTCCAGGGGATTGGACCAGAACAGGGGTCGGCGAATTTTTTTTAGCCGCGGGCTGGTCCACTGTCCCTCAGACCTTGTGGCTGGCCAGAGAAGCGGCACCGGGGGGTGGAGCTGGAAGAAGAGGAGAGGGGGACAAGTAGTTCTCCTCCTCAGCCCCCAGGACCAGCCCCAGCCCCAGTGCTTACCTTCCCTGGGGCTGCCGCTGCCACCACCACCACCGCTGCTGCTGCTTCTTGTGGGTAGACAGAGCTAGCTTGTCCGCTCCGCTCTCTGGCCCACAGGAGCACCAGGGCGGCGGGTGCGGTGGGAAGATGAGTGGCGCAAAAGGGCTGGCTCCGGAGAGGGGCTGCTTAAAATGCTGCTCAGCCCAGCCCCCTTCCTCCTCTAGGCAGGGCGGGGGGAAGCCAGGAGGAGGGAGGGAGGAGGCGCCGCCGCGGTGTGTGTGAGGGAGAGGGGGGAAATGGAATGGTGCAGAAAAAAAATGGCGCAGCCCGAACAAACAGAATCCCCACGCCGATCCAGGGACAGTCTGCAGGCTGGATCCTGAAGGCAATTGGGCCTGATCCAGCCCGCGGGCCTTAGGTTCCCGACCCCTGGGCTAGAAGATCCTCGGGGTCCCTTTGTAGTTTAGTTAGGTTCAACAGATTTAACTACGTTTAAACAACTAACAGGGACGCGGGTGGCGCTGTGGGTTAAACCACAGAGCCTAGGACTTGCCGATCTGAAGGTTGGCAGTTCAAATCCCCGTGACGGGGTGAGCTCCCGTTGTTCAGTCCCTGCTCCTGCCAACCTAGGAATTCGAAAGCATGTCAAAGTGCAAGTAGATAAGTAGGTACCGCTCCGGCGGGAAGGTAAACGGCATTTCCGTGTGCTGCTCTGGTTCGCCAGAAGCGGCTTAGTCATGCTGGCCACATGACCCGGAAGCTGTACGCCGGCTCCCTCGGCCAGTAAAGTGAGATGAGCACTGCAACCCCAGAGTCGGCCATGACTGGACCTAATGGTCAGGGGTCCCTTTACCGTTACCTTTTATACAACTAACTGCTTGTTTCAGTAGCTTTGTATGCACCATTCTAAAGGGTTAACTAAACTGCTCTGTTTTTTCCTGCTCCCATCCAGTTCTGAATTTGCTACTGCTTTGGTGAAGAGGCGGTAATCCTTGTCTGGGCAGATTTCCTCTGTCCAAGACCCCCCCCTTTCCCCTCAGTAGCACTTTGGGATGACACACATGTCTTGGAAGGAAGTGTGTGGCTTGTCAGGCTGCAAGTTTATATTTAGCTTTCAACTCTGTTGCTTGCCACACAAAAAAAGGAAAGAAAAGGGAGGGAAAGACTGGTTAGCCAGGATGGTCCCTACTGTGCAATGGAAGAAGAGGAAGTGACTAAAAATAACTGTTCCTGGACCATTTAGAATATATTATACTACTGACATTTATTTCTTGCTTGTGTTATGTAGTCATTCCTTTCCCAAATGTGAATTCATTTTGTAACGCAAATGAAAGAAGGAGAAGTTAACTGTTGTATAATAGATGAGAAAAGCATCCCAAAGGTGTTTTTTTGTGGCATGGCTTACCAATTGTACACATTTAAAAGAGGTGGTGTTTCTGTATGTAGACTAGCCAGCCTTAAACAATGGCTTGTTGTCTTGGCTTTTTTCTTTTTCCCCGTATCTATCTATCTATGTATCTATCTCTATCTATCTCTATCTATCTATCTATCTATCTATCTATCTGTCTATCATCTATCTATCTAACTTTATTAGAACAATACATACAATACATTTTACAAAAGCAAAACCAAACCAAAACACAACAAACAAAACAAAACAATAACAACAAACTAAAACACCAAAAACATCACATATTCTCTTGATTTCCATTCATCCCCTTGTGTTATCTAAACTTCATTTTCCACTTCACACATTTATATTTCTAAATATTTAAAAATACTTTATTAATTAATGTTCCTCTCTTGTCTTGCAAGATTCAGTTCAGACCCGTCAAAGCATTTAGATTTTTACAGTACCGTTTTATATACTCTCTAAAGGCATTCCATTCTTTATTTAATCTCTGTTTTGAGTCGTCTCTTAAACTTACAGTCATTTTGGCTAATTCTATATATTCTATCATCTTCACCTGCCAGTCAAATTTCCTTTCCATTTTTTTGCTATTAAAATTCTAGCCGCCGTTGTCACATACACGAAGATTCTTCTAATTTTTTTGGGGGGGGGGGATTTCAGTAGGCATAATGCCTAATAGGAATGCTCCTATTGGATTTTTTTGAAATGAACATTTAAAGATGTTTTTAAGTTCATTATATAGTGTGTCCCTGAATTCTCTTACTGTCTTGGCTTTTTAAAAGGTTCAGAAGCTACATAAGCTTCCTAGTTTGTTTCTCTTGTCCGTGCCAAGCCAGGAGCCATCAGGTAGCATGTGCAAGCACACTGGTTATGCATGGTGACCAGTGATAAGCCAGCAACTATGGCTTATCCTGACATGCAAACATGGCTGTAGTGTTGAGCACTGCTTTTTTTATCATGTGGCTGGGCATATCACTACTGTGAGCCTATACAGAGAAAAATCCTGGAGTGAAGTTTCACCCTATGATGGCAGCTTCATCCTCTGTACCATACTTCTGTAGGGTAGGGGGAAATTTGGGGTGTAGCAGATGGTGGTGGATGTGTGGCAGAATGCACAAATAGTAAGATATAGGAAGTAAATGAGTAAGTCTTACATCATAGGCAGGCTGCAGTTACTGCCCAAGAGACAACAGGAAACTTAAATAACCTTCAGCACCTTATACTGCCTGCAGGGTTTCAAACAAATGTTTTCTGTTAGATGTACATTTACCATCAAGCAATTTGATATTTGACTTGAGCTTAATGAGGGTGTTTCCTGCTTGGCAGGGGGTTGGACTTGATGGCCCTTGTGGTCTCTTCCAACTCTATGATTCTATGATTCTATGAGGGTGAAAGAGGAGAGCGCAAAATATGGTCTGAAGCTCAACATCAAAAAAACTAAGATCATGGCCACTGGGCCCATCACTTCCTGGCAAATAGAAGGGGAAGAAATGGAGGCAGTGAGAGATTTTACTTTCTTGGGCTCCATGATCACTGCAGATGGTGACAGCAGCTACGAAATTAAAAGACGCCTGCTTCTTGGGAGAAAAGCAATGACAAACCTAGACAGCATCTTAAAAAGCAGAGACATCACCTTGCCAACAAAGGTCTGTATAGTTAAAGCTATGGTTTTCCTAGTAGTGATGTATGGAAGTGAGAGCTGGACCATAAAGAAGGCTGATCACCGAAGAATTGATGCTTTTGAATTCTGGTGCTGGAGGAGACTCTTGCGAGTCCCATGGACTGCAAGAAGATCAAACATCTCCATTCTGAAGGAAATCAGCCCTGAGTGCTCACTGGAAGGACAGATCCTGAAGCCGAGGCTCCAATACTTTGGCCACCTCATGAGAAGAGAAGACTCCCTGGAAAGGACCCTGATGTTGGGAAAGATTGAGGGCACAAGGAGAAGGGGACGAGATGGTTGGACAGTGTTCTCGAGGCTACCAGCATGAGTCTGACCAAACTGCGGGAGGCAGTGGAAGACAGGAGTACCTGGCGTGCTCTGGTCCATGGGGTCACGAAGAGTCGGACACGACTAAACGACTAAACAACAACAACAACAACAAACTGTTAGCCGTGCCTTCTTCTGAGGAGATATATCCTCCCACTAGCACCAATAATTTAATAGTAATAATTTTATTAGCTGTACCCTGCCCTATCTGATTGGGTTGCCCCTTCAAACAAATATAAAAGTGTAATAAAACATCAAACGTTTAAAACTTCCCTATACAGGGCTGCCTTCAGATTTCTTATAAAAGTTTTATAGTTATTTATCTCCTTGACATCTGATGGGAGGGCGTTCCACAGGGTGGGTGCCACTACCGAGAAGGCCCCCTGCCAGGTTCCTTGTAACTTCACCTCTTGTGATCCTCCCTCCCCCCACATCCCACGCCCAGCACTTAGCAGCCTTGCAGATGAATATACAAAATTTGCCAGTATGCACATTCTTCTCACCACCTACCTGCTTGCATTTACCTGAGCCCTGCAGGATGTATTTTGTGATAAGTCCGGCAAGTAATTGGTGAACGGCAAATGGGGAGCTTGATGTGCTAGCCTGCCCGTGCCCAAACACACTTTATTTCCTATATTGCTGTGTCCCTTTTGCACTTTCTTTTTGGGTGAAAATGTGTCTGAAATATTTAATCTTTGTTTCTTAATGCAGAGTTGATAACCATCAGTATACAGTGGTACCTTGCGTTACAGACGCTTCAGGTTACACA